TAAGGTTTGTCACGTAAACACACTTAGAGTAAATCCACACTCATATTTTAAATGTTGTGAATTTGCTCTCCAACACACCAGTGTGCTGTACTGGTAATGACTTGGCATGTTCTGTTTACGTGACGAACCTTATTAATTGGCTGTCGGGTGGTGGCAGGTTTAACGACACATTTATATTTACCATGATCTAACCCAAAAAAGCTATATTATGAATGTTAAAACTGTATGAATTAGTTATCGAGCATTATCATGCCTTATATCCAATAGAGTGGAGTGGTGACAGTCATTAGCTAACCAATCATGGGTAAGGAAAGATATCACCAAGATGGGTGCCACAGTGGCGAGATGTTAACTACGTCGCCTGGTATACAGAAGGTCTTGGGTTTGATCCCGACCCTGACTCCTGCTGTATATTTGAGTTTGCATGTCTCTCTCCCCGTGGTCGCGTGGATTTTTCTCTGGGTCCTCTGGTTTTTCCCTCCACATTTAGAGACATAAGCATAAAAAGCGTATTTGGCTACTATAATTTTCCACGTGATAAGCCACTTTGTAGAGCTATCATTTGTGGCCAGGTCGCTTCTGAAAAAAAACTACAGTGAGGGAAAAAAGTATTTGATCCCCTGCTGATTATGTACGTTTGCCCACTGACAAAGAAATGATCAGTCTAAAATTTTAATGGTAGGTTTATTTGAACAGTGAGAGACAGAATAACAACAAAAAAATCCAGAAAAACGCATGTCAAAAATGTTATAAATTGATTGGCATTTTAATGAGGGAACTAAGTATTTGACTCCTCTGCAAAACATGACTTAGTACTTGGTGGCAAAACCCTTGTTGGCAATCACAGAGGTCAGACGTTTCTTGTAGTTGGCCACCAGGTTTGCACACATCTCAGGAGGGATTTTGTCCCACTCCTCTTTGCAGATCTTCTCCAAGTCATTAAGGTTTCGAGGCTGACGTTTGGCAACTCAAACCTTCAGCTCCCTCCACAGATTTTCTATGGGATTAAGGTCTGGAGACTGGCTAGGCCACTCCAGGACCTTAATGTGCTTCTTCTTGAGCCACTCCTTTGTTGCCTTGGCCGTGTGTTTTGGGTTATTGACATACTGGAATACCCATCCACGACCTATTTTCAATGCCCTGGCTGAGGGAAAGAGGTTCTCACCCAAGATTTGACGGTACATGGCCCCGTCCATCGTCCCTTTGATGCGGTGAAGTTGTCCTGTCCCCTTAGCAGAAAAACACCCCCAAAGCATAATGTTTCCACCTCCATGTTTGACGGTGGGGATGGTGTTCTTGGGGTCATAGGCAGCATTCCTCCTCCTCCAAACACGGCGAGTTGAGTTGATGCCAAAGAGCTCCATTTTGGTCTCATCTGACCACAACACTTTCACCCAGTTGTCCTCTGAATCATTCAGATGTTCATTGGCAAACTTCAGACGGGCATGTATATGTGCTTTATTGAGCAGGGGGACCTTGCGGGCGCTGCAGGATTTCAGTCCTTCATGGCGTAGTGTGTTACCAACTGTTTTCTTGGTGACTATGGTCCCAGATTAGGACCACTCCCTTTAAGAGTGTGCTCCTAATCTCAGCTTGTTACCTGTATAAAAGACACCTGGGAGCCAGAAATCTTTCTGATTAAGAGGGGGTCAAATACTTATTTCCCTCATTAAAATTCCAATCAATTTATAACATTTTTGACATGCGTTTTTCTGGATTTCTTTGTTGTCATTCTGTCTCTCACTGTTCAAATAAATCTACCATTAAAATGATAGACTGATAATTTCTTTGTCAGTGGGCAAACGTACAAAATCAGCAGAGGATCAAATATTTTTTTCCCTCACTGTATATAGCTCAGAGGGCCTTACCAGGCAAAAGAAAAGTTGTATAGTTTTGTTTAAATATATTCAGTCTACATCCCAATCAGCGCAGTAAATGTTTTCAACAGTGGTTAGCACATTGCACTGTAAACCCAGCCACCTATGTTACATTTCTGACTGTGGCTAACATCAGTAGTATTGGCCATTTCACCTTTCATCAAGCCGCACTGACCAGTGTGGTAAAATAATTTCAAACAACCACCATGGAGAGGCCTTCATCCAGTAGTGGATGGATAATAAAGCAAAAGCGATTAAGATTTGTGGCTATGAAACCAACAGAGCGTATAGGTGATATGAATCACAACAAGGGTCCTAATTTAATCAATATTTTTTGCAGAATTTGTACTCTTAGAATAATGATGAAGTCAAGTATTAAATAGCGCTAAAATATGTCTGGAGGGGATAATTCACGGCACTTCATAGAATTGTGTTAAGCCCCAGTAGACATTCAGGAAAGAATAGCCTGGCAAGTTTAGCCATTAAACAAGGAATAAAAAGCATGCATATAACCTGTAATGGTTTCCAGCAGCATGCTGTTACATTAGTGTCTTGACCACAAAGGATTTTCTTAATCGCCGAGTTTTGGGACACCCTTTAATTAATTAGCAAATTTTTCTACAGGGTAAGTTTCTAATAGCAACACTGCTTTATACTAACATTTTGTATATATTGGTTATTTTTTACAAGCGTTATCTTGGTCTCCTGCTACAAAGGATAGATAGACACAGCCAATGTATTCTTGTTTTCAACCTTAATTGATCAACGGCAGTCCATGGCCTTTGAGAAAGCACGAAATGCCATAGTCTATGAGACATTCATCAGCAGCTTAACCATTACAATATTTTATTGTGAATTTTACACGTATCTTTTTCGCACAATGTAATTAAAGTAATTATTATTATGATTGCGTCAAACACTCCTCTTGTCCCCAGTGGGTGCAGTGTTAATTAAGTTGAGGTTATAATTCACGTTGCTATTTCTGCTTCAATGTGATGATGAGAAAGGAACTGGGCATTACTGCACAGTGCACAAGCATGGAGGATGAGCCCTGTACATAGCCTGAGCCCCATTCCATACATTGACATGTACTGCATTTGAAATACTCTATCTTATTATAAACTCTTTCAATCTTATATTCTATTTGTGCTCCCATAGGCCGTTGATTTCAGTCTTCCGGTGCGGCAGTTTAAATAATGGTCTTTTATTTTATCCCCCTGCCTCTGTTCACCCAGCAATATAAATGGGTCCACCACAGTTAGCTGCGTGGCAGGTCACGTGTGGTAGTGGGGTAAAGTGTTGTTACTCCAAGACATGTAGTCAGCGCCATTGTGGTCAGATTTTAACTCCCTCGCCTGGCATGAGTTCGATCCCGACCCTGACGCCTACATATTTGCAGTCTGCATGTTCTCCCCATGGTCGTGTGGAATTTTCTCTGGATCCTCTAGTTTTCCTGTCCACATTTAGAAACATGCGTTTAGAGTAAATATGCTGCTATGAATTTCAATATAAACCACCTCGTTTCGCTATCATTTGTGGCCAGCTTGCTTGTGAAAAAGAGTTATCACTAAGTGGGCCTTACCTGCTAAAATAAAAATAGTTGTTTTAAAATAGCGTAGAAGAATATATGCTTTAAAAGAGTTATGTAGACCTCCGTCAAGTGGAGGCCCTTCTACCAGCAGTGGAATGAGCAAACACTTACAGTGCTGCACCTTTACCTTCTACACAAAACATGAGGATTGAATACTCAGTGGGGAATTATTCAAATTTCATACCAAGCAGAAGCTGCTCGACACAGCCTTAAGAGGAGTCACTAAAGGCTTTTCTTGGATCTCGGAGCAGTAAAATAATAACATCCCACCGACCAGTAACTAAAACATGACTATTTCAAAACACATCAATAGCAATTTATATTAATCAGAGAAATAAGCGTCACTGGTGAAGTGAAAGAGACTGAGGGAAATAAAAGGCGTCTCTTTAGACACGTTGCTGAGTAAAGAAAGTCTGCTTTATGTCATAGTGTACGATTTCTTTTATACCATGCGATATATCGCCAGCATTTCAATGTGTGCGACCACTGTTATTGTATAACATTACTCTACAGATGCTTTAAACACTGTGATTGTATGTGTGTGTGGTCAAGTACGAATTCATGCTTTTGAAGTGTACTTTTAATTCCCATTTTACACCATAAAATCCAGCTGCATCCAAACTTGAGATGTTGACACCAAACAGAATGACCCATTTGGGCCTAATACTATTTTCATTCAAGCATGGAATGTCTGAAGGATGATTATGCAATGCTTTTTAAAGTGTACATCACTGTCTGGACAAATGTATATAGTGTTCAATACTTTAAAGCCAAGAGAAATAATGTTGTATATTATACACATCGCACGAGCTCTCAAGCTATGCGATGTGTTTTCGGGTTGTGCCACGCATTGTTTAGCAATATATATGACGAGTTACTTCCTGAACAAGCTCCCTGGACATAGAGTGAAACGTCGGACATGATACCGAAGAACACACAATACGACTCAAAATCCCATCAGAGAGCTATGTGGTAGCGTTTGATGTGGATAAGTGACTTTCAGTTGGTGTCGTATTAAGCCCTCCACCAAGGGAGGATTTATTCCTGTATTAGCCTTAGGCTGCCAAGCGCTATGTGATGTTCATGGAATAGCCTTTAGCAGACTACAGAGTAAACCGGTTAGCGGTTCCCAGTTGGCATGACAATTTGCCTAGCCAGCAAGCCAAACAATCATTCCTGCTATGCATATGGAAGCTCTACAGAGCCCCGCTAGGGGGTATTTGGCCTCATCTTCTGCGCTGGGCAGACTTCTTTGAAAAGGTGGGTGTACCCACAATTTATCCCACTAAAACAGTTGATTGACTAACTGTAGGGTATATATTTGCACTGCCGGGTGGACAGAGGCAGGGAGATATAAGAAACGTGCCACTTTGTTTCAACTGCCGGGAGGATGAACCGAACTGGCAGGCGATGGATTGCAAGTCCTGTGTGCTAACCATCACATCAATCATGGCAGCTCATCTCTGGAAGTAGCCTCAAGTCTTGCTTAAAAAAACGCACACACACACACAGGGTCGCCGTTGCCCTCTTACCGGACAGCGTGGGTGCCCTGCGGAAGGTTCTTGGTGACGCAAATCCTGCGACGAAGCAGTCGAAGAGGAAGCAAATCTGATCGGCCTCCGTGCATGCCAGGAAGAACACACCGGCACCTGAGTCAAGAGCCAAATCCATTACCCAAACGTCACCCCAAGTGCAGAGCATGGTGCATTAGTCTAATACAAGGAACAATAACAAATCAAGACTGAACAATAACAAAGTTAACAGGGCACCTGGCAATAGAAACACAAAGGTACTTCACGGTGGCCAAATAAACTACCCTTTTAGTGTGGGCATGCTGAGATTGAAATTATCCTTGCTATGTCATCTGCCTGTGAATGCTAAACCTCCCACAAGACTGTTTGCAAAAGCAACCATTTTGTGCCAGCATTGCATGAGAAACACCGCAAGTTATTTGTCAAAGAGCCCCATAAAATCATTTATAAATCAGTTTCTTCAATTATCATTTATTGCACTGATGGGATTCATGCACAACAGGATAAAGAGGCAGTGGCAAATTCTGCATATACATTGCACTGCGCTACACGGAGATGCAGTCCCAGTGCTCTGAGTTGCGTCGAAGCAGAGAATAGACAAGACGGTAGTTGCTGGAATGATTTACATTGTGAGAAAGCTGATTCTACCAGGGGAACCAAGGCATGGGGCATTGCTAGGCCTTTTCCCAATGCTCGCCATCTTCTTTTCTACTTTTATCCTCTTAGGAATTTGCACACATCACCCTGGAGAAAGCATTCGTGCAGTTACACACTCAGCAGTGGTATTGAAAGCTACCCACATTGCCACGATTCAACACGGGGAGTCCTTTTTCATTGCAGGGTGCCCAAAGTTGTGTTTCCCGGCATTTTATTAAAAGCCACAGAGGAGATCCACTCAATCCAATGAACATTTAGTTAAATACTATACACTAGACGAGAGTACAATATTCTAACACAGTATAACATGCGCAGAATATCAATTATATTCAGGGAGGTAAATTATCAGATGTAAAATGTGAATAATTAGTCTCAATATATTTGCGTTACCTGTGAAATGCAAGGATTGTGAAAACATCCACTGATGTTGTGTCCCTGAAAGAGCCTGAGCTAAAGCGCTGCGCTCATGAGCTTAGCGGCAAAGACTTAGCCGCTAAGTCACCCATACTGGACAGAACTAGGGCAGAGTTTGTTCTCCTTGTTTCAAAGGAGGGTTCACATGCACAAGTGTGCATGTGAAAGTCACATCACGTGACTCTCCAGTGTCCAGTCCTGTGATTCATCAATTCAACTGTCTCAATTGCAGAAAGAAAGGAAAAAAACGTTGAGCTAGAGTAATCAGAAGCCAGGACAAATCAGCTGGATGTTACTCAATCTCTCTGACAAAAGAGACTTGGCTACTCCATGGTTATTACATTCTAGTGTAGATATACTTGGGGTATGACATATTAATGAATTATTCTACATAAAAAAACAGGTGGCGAGATGTTAGCTACCTCGCCTGGTATACAAGAGACCGTAGATTCAACCCCAACCGTGACGCCTGCTGCATATTTGGAGTTTGCATGTTCTCCCTGTGGTTGCTTGGATTTTTCTCCGAGTCTTACAGTTTTTCCCCTCCACATTTAGAATTAACATGCGTTTAGATTATTTGGCTGCTATACATTTCCACATGATAAGCCACTTTGTTGACTATAATTTGTGACCAGCTCGATTCTGAAAAATAACTTTATAGCTCAGTGGGCCTTACCTGGTAAATAGTTTAGGAATTGCTTTACTTTATAATTACCGGCAGAAATTGCCAGGAAGTTGAAGCCACACTTTGGCATTTGGGGGGGGGGGGCGGGGGAGTCCTACTCGCGATGGTTCCCCCTGGCTTTTGATTTTATATACAGTCAGGAGACCCACGAAATTCAACCCCCTCCACTTGGTCATCGATGTATCATAATTAAAATGAAATCTTTGCAACGACTAGCTCCATGACTCGCTCGTGAGCCTATTGTCCAAACGCTGCTGTGTATTTAAAGATTTCCATCATCATCACGCATAGCAATTGTGTCACCTTGTCGAAGGGAGAAAAATGTAAAACACTAAAAATACCATGATTTCTGTCAAGACATTTTCTTGGTGGTTGTAGTGTGTAGCGGTGTGTAGTGGTTAGCGCACTGCGCTACAAACCCTAATTTGATTCCCGCTCACGGCGAACACCAGTGACGATCATCTGAAACGGTCATGGGCCTCCCCTAGGTCGACTCAGCCTCAATAGAGTAACCTGGCGCGGTGCGTAAACATCGCCACCGGGGCAGAGACAAAGCCGTCCGGGGTGTGGTTACTAACCAACCACCCCCCAACTAACATCACTTGCCCCAAGCATCTTCTTGGTTCTTTCGGTAAAGTCACGTAGAATGGAAATAATAATATAATAAAAATAAAACACAACAAAACAATTTTCACGACGTTTCGGCCACAACGCAAGCAGCCGTCCTCAGGTGAAGAACATGTCTGTCGAGAAGACAGAGTCTGAATGTCTTCTCGACAGACCTGTTCTTCACCTGAGGACGGCTGCTTGCGTTGTGGCCGAAACGTCGTGAGAATGATTTTATTATGTTTTATTTTTATTATTTTATTATTTCCATTCTACGTGATGACTTTACCGAAAGAACCAAGAAGATGAATCCCTGCAGTCACGACAGCCTTAAATTGAAATTGCCCCAAGCAGTCAATCACGATCTCCGCTTGCTGGCTGGGTGGGTGGGGGGGGGTGCGAGGCGATTGCTTTCAGGGGACCTGCAGCTGATCGCGTGCCGCCCTCGAACGCGAACCCCCCGGGCACGGCGCCGTAGCGGCGCAGCTCCGCGAGGCGCCAGTGCGCCAGCAGCGCCGGGGGCGCGTGGCGCGTGAGCACGAAAGCGTTGTGCCGAAAGTGCAGCGTGGCCGGCCCGCTCTCCAGACGGCTGCCCGCTGGCACCCACACCGCGAAGCTGTGCACTGGGGGGGTGGGGGGCATGGGGGGGCACGAGGGGGGGGGGGGGGCACGGGGGGGGGGGCGGGGGGGGGGCACAAAAATAAAACAAATTCACCGACCACCACCAATAACAACAACCACGATTTAAAGCTTTCGTGACTGCAGGGATTCATCTTCTTGGTTCTTTCGGTAAAGTCACGTGACTTTACCGAAAAAACCAAGAAGAATAAAACAAATTCACCGACCACCACCAATAACAACAACCACGATTTAAAGCTTTCGTGACTGCAGGGATTCATCTTCTTGGTTCTTTCGGTAAAGTCACGTGACTTTACCGAAAAAACCAAGAAGAATAAAACAAATTCACCGACCACCACCAATAACCACCTAGGGGGCGTGGGGGGGGGGGGCACAAAAATAAAAAAAATTCACCGACCACCACCAATAACAACCACCACGATTTAAAGCTTTCGTGACTGCAGGGGATTCATCTTCTTGGTTCTTTCGGTGAAGTCACGTGACTTTAAACTTAATTTGGAGCTTTCGTGACTGCAGGAATTATTCTTTGGTTCTTTCGGTAAAGTCACGTATAAAGACAAAATAATGAATTAAATTAAATACTAGCATACCGAAAGAACCAAGAAGAACTACAACCACCACAATAACCACCTAGGGGGCATCCATTGAGTAGGTACGCAAAAAATCTGTCTGTCAAAACTTGACCCCCCCCCCCTCTCCCTGTACGCACGTAGACTTTTTAGACCCCCCCCCCACCTGCGTACGTACGCCTGACCCACCCCCCCGAATCCTATAGAACGGCCGATATTTAATCCACGCAGAAACGATCAAGGATTAATAATATGAACGTGTTCTTGGTTCTTTCGGTAAAGTCACGTAGAATGGAAATAATAAAATAATAAAAATAAAACATAATAAAATAAAAAATATACTGTTATATTATTTTATTCTAATAAAAATAAAACATAATAAAATAAAAAATAGACTATTATATTATTTTATTATGTGTTATTTTTATTATTTTATTATTTCCATTCTACGTGACTTTATCGAAAGAACCAAGAAGATGAATCCCTGCAGTCACGAAAGCTTTCAATCGAAATATGAACGTGTTTTAAGCAAACAGAGAGTCCATCGCCGGCTGCATTAAGGAATTAAGTCGCGCACCTTGGCCACTGATGTTGCTGAGCTGCGTGACAGCTGCAGTCAGGGGCACGGTGGCACACGAAGTGACACTTCTCCCACAATGCCACTTCTCCCGCTAGTACTCGTTGTCTGACAGCTCAAGACACTGAACTGTGGCTCATTTGAAGGCTAATGTGGACATATTATTATCGAGGCTTCACCCCCCCCCCACCCCCGTTTCCTATGCGTACATTGTCGGCAGACAATGTAAAACCCCACGCCCGGCCGCCTTTGTCTCCCCTGCGGCGATGTTTACTGCACACCGCACCAAGTACTCGTTCGAGGCTGAGCCGACCTAGGGGAAGCTCAGGACACCGTTTCAGATAATCGTCACTGATGGTGTTGGCCGTGAGCGAGGATCGAACTCGGGTTTGCCGGGTTCGTAGCTAACCGCTCCACCACCGCTCCCCACACGTTCAGCCACGCGTGAGTCGTGTGCTATTATTGTTGTATTATTATACCACAATTCTGATCACAACAAAACCTGCCATAGTATAAGAGCGCACCCTTTTTAGTTTGCTTTAAAATGCATGGACATTTAAAAAAAAAATATTATCTGGAGAATACGGTTTTCATTTTTTGCCTTGAGTAGGGTAATGAGTTGGGTAATGGGAGGGAGATTCTGAAGTTGACCAGTGCAAGGAGAGAGGCAGAGAGAAAATGTGGCTTGCAGTGTGAGTGAGACGAACAGCCTCAACCCGGGTAAAGTGAAGCTAAGGGGAATACAGTGACGTCAGTGAAATCCATTGCCTACTCACAAACATACGGTTTCACTTTGTGCATGTTATAACAATCGTTTTTCGTTGTTGGCAAGATATTCATTTGTGACAACCTGGGCCCTTTTGTGTAAGCCCAGTGGCATTCGTCCCAAACGCTGCAGCTAGCCGCGTCGTAAAATACCTTTGAGTTTACTTAGAGTCAGTAGGGCTCCCAAATTATCAGGGCGTGGGGGTTAAAGTCCCGGCCATGAACGGATGACTCAGCCTATTGTCCATTCATGGTTGATGCAATTAATACCACCTGGTGGATAAACGTGTGGTGGTCAGGCAACCGTGGCTGTGCTTTGTTGAGATTTATTTCTGCTGCCGGTCCAATAGCAGCCAAATCAATATGCTATTGTTGCTACTCTTGAACACTTTGATGTGTTTTTTTGTAGAATTCTTTAAGAAGCTTAACTACATTAACTTAGTTTTTCCTATTTGTGATATCGACATGCATTGTAAACAAGTGTATCAATTATTATTTGCAGTATGTTATGCATTAGTATTCTGCTGAACAGGTACCGTGTATATGGAATATTTGGTGATGATGGGAGGCAACTAAAAAAAAATTCAGCACAAATTTATATCTTTACTAGCTGTACTACCCGGCTTCGCCCGGGACTTGGATCCACCACGCCCGGCCGCCTTTGTCTCCCAAGTGCCGATGTTAATACGCCACACCAGTTACTCGTTTGAGGCTGAGTCGACCTAGGGGAGGTTCAAATAATCGTCACCGGTGGTGGCCGTGAGCGGGAATCGAACTCGGTTCGCCGGGTTGGTAGCGCAGCGTAGCGTTAAGCACTACACCCACCGCTCCTCACACACCACACACGCACAGACACACACACAGACACACGCAGACACACACAGACAGACACAGACAGACACACACACACACAGACACACAGACAGCACGCTAAGCACTACACTACCGCTCCCCACACACCACACACGCACACACACAGACACACACACAGACACACACACAGACACAGACAGCACGCTAAGCACTACACTACCGTTCCCCCTACACAACACACGCGCGCGCGTCCATAGGTACACATACACGCGCTTGCTGCAGACACACACGACTTTCAGGGTGCGTAAGGCAGTAAACGACTGAAATAATAAAGCGGCAATGCTGTGCGAGGAACGCCTTAGACCAGCAACACATTTGTGTAATGCGAGCGTAAACACACAAACACATACAAACACATACACACACATACATACACACACATACACACAAACACATACACACACATACACACACATACAAACACACAGACATACACATACACACAAACACACACATACATGCACACAAACACATACACAATACACACACACATACATGCAGACACACAGACAGACACGTAACACACATACATACACACACATACATACACAGAAACACATACACACACATACATAGACACACACATACATACACACAAACACATGCACACACGTACATACACACATACATAGAGACACGCAGACATACACATAAAGACATAAAAAAAAACCCACATACATACACACACACATACACACAAACACATACATACACATACATACACACATACATAGAGACACACAGACATACACATAAACACAAACACACATACACATGACCCGGCTTCGCCCGGGACTTGGATCCACGATGCCCCGCCGCCTTTGTCTCCCCAGTGACGATGTTCACACACGACAGCAGTTACGCTTTTGAGGCTGAGTGGACCTAGGGGAGGGCCAGGTCCGTTTCAAATAATCGTCAGCGGTGGTGGGCGTGAGTTGGAATCGAACTGGGGTCGCTCAAGCAGCTTAATGACTGTTTGTACAAAGAACATATAAAGAATCGATTATAATAACCAGGCAAGAGTCCACATTATAGACTGCCAGTACACGCACTCAGCTTCATAAGCAGGCTAGAGTGTACATGATAGAGTGGCAGTACGCTCACCGAGCTTAATAAGCAGGCTACAGTGTACATGATAGACTGGCAGTACGCTCACCCAGCTTAATGAGTATTTGTACAGTGAACATTAAAGTAATCGATTGTTGGCGCGTTGGGTTTAAAAGTAATATTAATAGCACACATTGTGGTGGGGGTGTAGTGAAGAGTAGGAAAAACTTTGATGAATTTACCTCAGAGTGGCGTGGTGGGTGTCGAGGCCTAGTAGCGTGCAAAGCCTGCGGCCTCGCCTAAAATTGTCGGCTTGGAAAAGGCAGGGTACGGGTGGCGTTCCTTCCCCCCCCCCCCTAGCGCTCCAACAATACTGTGTAATGGCTATTATTTAATTAAATACGGAGCTTATGAAAGTGGCGAAGGCGTGGCTAGCCGTTGGCAGGGGCAACCGCCGTCCAATGAAACTGCAGCCCTTGGCGAAGGCGTGGCTAGCCGTTGCCAGGTCCAATGAAAGCGGCGAAGGCGTGGCTAGCCATTGGCAGGGGCAACCGCCGTCCAATGAAAGTGCGTATGGGCCAAAGTCCACACACACACACACAGACAGACAGACATGAACGATTTTATATATATAGATTAGATATATGCATTATATACAAATATTGATGTAAAATAGTATTATTTTTTACTATCTTTATAACCGAGTAAATGCATATTAAGTTTAATATATTTTAAATTAATAGCCCAGTATTGGCAACACGCAATTTGCCTGTGTGTATAAAAAAAAAACCTATTCATCACTTAATTATCTTCACTCGTGATGGCTAACGAGGGCACTTTGCAATGCCTATGAGTGGACTGTGGCTAATTAACGCAGGGGCTGAGGTTGTAGGAAGTATTGGATGCACTGCACCGTGGGAAAAGGAGTGAATGACTGAATTAATATTAAGGTAGGCGATGGCTGAATAACCTATGTCAGCTTAATGACTGCAGAATGAACAAGAGTGAGGTAATACATGTAAGAGGTCGTGAGTGGTGCTGAGGGCAGTTCGCAATGTGTATATTTAATTATCCATACGAGGCATGAGGGAGATGCTGCTGCTGGTTGGCAAACTGGAATTGCAATCCAGAAATCGCAGGTTCAGTTTATCCT